GGGGGGGGGGGGGGGGGGGGGGGGGGCGATTTCGTATTCAAGCCTCCCCCTCCTGCCGAGCCCTAAGCATAGTACATTACATAGAACGACGGCTGAACAGCAGCCATGCCCCTCTAGCACGCAGTTCTGGCCACCCGCAAGCACATTACACTGCTGTCCGGCAAGCACACAATACTGACGCTCCATGTCTAGTCCGGAGAGCACTCCAGCAGCGGCGAATGATGCGGAGGGAGAAGAACCTGTGCGCCAAGTTGCCTCTGCTGGGCGCGCTTCGCGGAGAAGACTGGCGACAGAGGATGAGTACGCCAGGCTTGCAACACGGGAAGGTGATGCTTGGGTTTGCCGCTGCGGGCACAAGTTCGGCACCTCGAAGAACATCACGGCTGAGAACCTCGATGCGCATGAGGAGAGCGGCAGGCACAAGTGAGTGGTACGCTGCTTTTTTGTACATGTGTACATGAGCGAAAAAAAAAAATGATAGTCGGTCCAGGGGGTGTGGTATCTTGTGTCACCTAAGGAAAACTTTCACGTACATAATAGACTACAGCACATGCCTATTGTATGCATACGTATGCTATGTTCGATTTCGTCGAGCAAGGTCGAGCGTCCATTTTAACCAGAAGTTTACGATGTGATATACGATATACCTATCTCTAACATGTATAGTCATACGTAGTCACCACCTATATTATATATAGTCTAGATGGTCGTCGGCTAAGCTGTGGTTTTCAACCCCACCTGTAGAAGCAGAAACAAACGGTTGTAATTGTACCTGAACATTTTGAGCCTTCCATTCTTGGCTGACGGTTCGCATTGCTGTATCCGCATGCAACCCCGTTCGAGATAAGGCCCCTTCCCGAAAGGGATGTGTTGAAGTATTTTGGTGTGAGGTGTTGAGAAAAACCTGCTGGATGCTGGACATTTTCGAGCCTCTTTAAACCTATGCACTGAAAGATGAGTATCGTAGTCTGCACAACAAGATTTTTACAAATGAAAACACAAACGCGCGAGAGAACCAAAGTCTAACCGCCCCTCACGCCCCCCCTTGAAAGACAAATTAATATTCATACCAACGAACACCCCATCCTTGGGGCCTAATAGTGGGTTTGGTAATTAATTATAGAGTAAAAGAAGTTTGAGCTCAAGCAACTGTTGTATGTTGCTTTTGCCCACCCCCTCCCAACGTTCTGTTGCCGCCCCTTCGTGTTGGGCAGCACATTTGCAATCTTGGGTGCCCCTCTCGAATGTAACGATCCCCCGAGTGCTACGCGTTGGCGGCGGGTTCGATGTTTTTCATTTCGCTGTCTTTTGTTGTGATGAGCTTCGGTGTGAAAACCCGTGATGAAAAATATTGTATATCTGCGCCTCAACAGAATAAAAAAAAAAAATGCAATCCTCTTGTCATCGATGTGACAATCATTCGCAGGGCGAAGCTGGCCAGTGAACAGAAACTCGCGAAGAAGGCGTCGTCGACGTTACGTGGTTGGTTCAAACCCAAACAAGCTGCCGCAGCCTCGCCCCCCGTCGCCAGCAGTACGCAAGCGAGGCAACAAATGGCGTGTGCTGGAGTCGCGTGCCTGGACGAGGTGAACAACGAGAGCCTTCCTGAACCGTCCAGCGCAGGCGACAACACCTGTGGCCCCCGATCGCTACCGCTGCGGTAGACCCTGAAGTGCTGTGTGTGGATGAGGACAGCAACGGGAGTCGTGATGAACCACTCGACGACGATGACAACGGTGACAACGGCAACTTACCGGACTTCGGCCGTATCAACGATATCGACGACATCGAAGAGGTGGACGACGGGGAGCAGTCTATCGTCAACCTTCCTGTCCCATGCCCGGGGTGCAGACCTGGCCTCGTCGCCAACCCTCCTCTTCTCGGGTACCCGTTCGGGATTCATAGTCAGGCTAGCGCAAAGTTAGCCTGGTTGGTGCAACTAGACGGGACGGAGGTTCGCCTGTTCGCCAAGTCCGAAATCTACAGCGAAGGCTGCACGGGGAAGTCCTCTTCTGCCGGTGGGCCGTGCGAGCTGTGCGCGGAGTTGGAGTTTGACCCCAAAGTCCAAGGTGAGTGTCCGGCCGATAGCGGTCGTTTCTACCCTGCACCCATTGGCATTTGCAGCACCAAGGGATCCGTATGTTGCCGTCCGCATGGCATGCTCTAAAAAAATATAACCTAGCAGAGGTTTTGAGCAGAAAACTCGTTGTGGTATGTATTTTAGATCGTTGAGTGGTACCCAACCTACAAGCCTTTACCCAATCCGTCGCTGCCTTGCGAACCCTGCAATGTTTACCCCAGGTTTGTTGACCCTGTTCGTCGATCGCCCGAGTTCGCACGTGCAGTGCATCTACGACCGAAGGCTATTGTTGGTTTATGGTGTATGCATTGTTGTACGACGTCCTCACGGGCGAGCGAGCGATAGGCGTGGCGGTAAGTTCTCCGTTGCCGCAGCTAACACCCCAACAAACACCTGTGTCGTCCGCTGCCCGGTGGAATTTCGTGTAGGGAGGGGGCTGGCATGCCTGGTGTTGGGCAATCGACGGAGCAGGAGGAGCAAACTCCAGGGGGTGAAGTGCAGCGAAGGGACCCGGGTAGCGTTTCCCAGGAGACCCCAACGTCGTCGACAACATCGACCGCAGCTAGTGTGCAGGGGGTAGAGGTGGACGCGGATACGGTGGTGGACCTCAGCAACACAGGCATGAGCGAGGCGGACGTCGACTGCCATGTCGAACCATTGCTAGAAGGCGTAGCCTCTGGGGCGTCGACTCCTTTCGACGCCTGGGTGGATATCGATGGGAAAGAGGTGTGTATGCTAGCCTTGTTGAGTGGTTACTGACTTTGGGATGGTTCTGTGGGATGGTTTGTGCCTGTCTTTGTCAACGTCCCCATTACTTGTCCCTCCACCCTCCTTTTTTGCAATTTTTCCTGGGAAATGCTCTGAAGATGTTCCGCGGTGATATCCCTGCTCTTGTCCCTCTTCTTGACGACGTCCGTAGGTTCACAAGACTACCGTCACACGGATCTTTTTGGGACCCGACGCCGCCCCGAGTTCCAACGACCGCGCTAGGCGCGTGAGGGGATATGGACGGGGTAATTCGGGGAGGGCGGCCGCGAACCTCTCGAAACAAGCACATGGAGGCGACGACATGTGGGCGGACGCTTTGATCGGGCAACCCTTCGCAACGTTGGTGGAGCTCGTGACGGGGAGCCACGCTCTCTGCATATTTGCCTTAACCAAAGGTGTTGATCGAACTGCGGGTAGTGCGCAGCTGCTGAGCGGCATTACGGTACGTTTGCGAGAGGCGGTCGGCAACGGCGCCAGTACCGACAACGTAGGTGCTCCCTCTGTGGAAGGTACCGAGCGTGGTGAGGGACAAGGTGGCGCGGAGACATCGTGGCGGTGGGATGGAGGAAGAACGCATGGTGGCAAAGAGTGTAAGATTCCGGCAGCACTGGCACTCCCTCTGAATCCCGGGTTCGGCGAGAGCGCGGAGAATGTCGTGTTTACGCTCGATAGTCTGAAGGCTGTGCTTCAAGCTCTTGAGATGTTGGTGGACACCACACCCGACGCCAGCTCGAAGGTGTTGAAAGCAAGACAAACATCTGCGGCAGACTTACCATACCATGAGTCCCTCAAGGGAGGCAGCCATACGCCGGACATCCCTAGCAGACTCGATTGTCTCCTCTGCGGCAGGTGCAGCATACCCGTCTTGGAGATGAGGCCCCATGTCTCTGCGCATGTTCTTAAAGCCCAGGTGCGGTTACCGTTTTCGTTCGGGAGGAGGGGTGGGGTGACCAAGGCCTTTGTGTGTATTTCGCTCTTCTTCGACTTCGGTAAGTTGGGGCAAACGTCCATGCAGCGAACTTTCTTTTTCTGGCCCACTTTCAGTTCACCACATTTATTGGCTTCGTGCCTTGTTTTTTTGTCGCAGATGGACGTTGATGCAGGTCACGGCGCCGCGGAGATTTTGAACCCGGAGACGTGCTGTTTCTGCGGGCGGATCGGCACGTGCTCGAGCGCCTTACGCGCTGGAAGCAGGAAAACCACGTCTGTGTGCACGTCTACGTGCCCCCATGCCCCCCGCGTGGGCGCCAAGGAGGTCATGGATGTTGGGATCCAGGTTGGGCAAGTGAAGAAGGTGTCAACCAACCAGCCATGCACCAACTTGCCCATGAAGTGCGAGTTGTGTCCGCCGGGCACCGTCCACGTGTGCAAGTATCTCATGCCCGTCCACATCGCTCAAAAGCATGGCGGGGCGAACGGTGTTCTTCAAGGCGGTTCTCCTGGTTTTCGAGCGAGCTACACTATTCCTGAGGGCGAGCGCAAGCAAGTCTTCGACCTGCTGGCCGTCGTTCCACGTCCGGGCGCCAGAAACTCCTCTACGGCCAGGACGCCCTCCAGGAAGCGGTCAGGCGATAACCACCAAGGAGCGAGGGGAACGGCGCGACCGCGAACATCCGAGGGTGGTGCTAGCGGCCATGTCGGTGGCAGCACCGCACGGGCAACAGGCCAACCTCGTCATGACGACGATGTTGTTTGGATTTAGGGATCTTGAGCAGCAGTGCATAACATGTGTTGCTCATTTTTAGTTTCGTTGCATCGGGAGGGTACAAGCACATGCTTTTTTTTGTGCTGTTAGGTCACTTTGATGCAAGCGGGTCGGGTGACTACGTGTTAAATCCATGCTCGTAGCTGCTGAAGCTGTTTGAGTGCAAAGGAACAGGCAGAGGGTAGAACCCGGTCCGGTGTGTGTTTTCATCGTTCCGCGCTGCATGCTATCTAGACTAAGTGGACTATTTTGTTTTACCATTCCTTGCTCCGGGAGCTCCGGATATGGAATACTCAGTAGACTATTTCCTTTCGTCAAGCCTGCTGTGATGACCGAACAAAAATAATTAATTCATTTCGCGAGGAGGACGACAAAACACTCGCCGCCGATGATCTCTTCCCATTTTATCCACCATACATACAAAAATTCCCGTCGGCGGAAACTACTGCAAGTATCTACCTGCTGCTGCTGCTGTAGGCGTCGTGAACTTGTTTCTAATATCATACACGAACATACATTCGTAGATGACATACATGCTGTCTTTGGTACCATTCTGTATGCTCATCAAGGAGAAACAACAGCGTCGTCACTGGGTAATGATGTATGTATGTATGCAGCCTACGATGAACTAAACGCAGGCAGCAGGACAGGAGGATCACCCAGCCCGCAGCTCGTACTATTGTGGTATTATAATAGTAAGTAGCTGCCAGCTGCCGATTGATATGTCCCTTGAAGCTGTCTACATCACATTATATAGGGGGGAGAGGGGCAGGTATCGCCGTATGTGTGTTGGTTCTGCAAGACAAGAGACTCTGAACGGCGTCCATGACCCGGTGCTAGCTGCTTATCCGATGTTAGAACTCATTCCACTCTAAAAGTCAATGGAACGAGGGAAATGACCAAACTGGTTTAAGCGTCCGAAAAAAATGGGTTGGGGGGGGGGGGGGGGTAGCCGTGCATCAACCTGTGCACTTGACGAGCCCCCTTGCGTCGACCTCCAAGGGGGTGCGCAGCTAGGGTTTGTACGGGTACCATTTTTGCTGTTTGTGGGCAGCCGCTGGCCGATGGTATTTTGGAGGTTGGTTGTAGACACCTAGTCTCTGGGGTATGATTCTAAATACTGCTATTGTCAGTCATACCCCATAGGCCGACACACCACGTTTGTGGATGTCGAAGTTTGAAAAAAGATAATTGAATGGTATGCATATGCGTGAACAGTTTCTGCCAGGCCGAACCGCCGTCGTCGTCGTATAAGCAGGCATTGAGATGTGAGATCGGAAATTTATTGTTTCAACTTTTTTTGTCGATAAACAACGGCAATGTGCGCCAGCTTTCCCTAGATAAATGTGCACCTCAGAGGAAGTGAAGGTAGGCGGACGAACCCTGGCTGCATTCATTCATTCAACAACCTCGCTCGCTCGGTGACAGGATTAATTTGCGCGTAATATTTGTTTGTCTTGTTGATACGGATAACAAGAAGAGCATTATTATATTATTATCTATCATGATGATGATGATGGATGGTGTTGCCCTTGCACAAAAAGACATAAAAGAAAATTATTGTCTTGTTTCGGGTGTTGTCATGTCCCTGAAAAAGGTGTCGTCTGTCGGGGGTCTGTTTTCGTGTTGCTGCGACCGGCTCTATCTGGTACTTCGTTTACAAAGCAGGACGTTTTAGTTGTTGCTGCTGTGCATGATAGAAGCGTCGCCCACCTACTGCTGTGTGTTCCCGCAAGTTTTCCACTTTCGACCTCCCCTACTATCTGTCCCTGGTGTGTCGGTGTGCTTATGTTCACGAGCAACGGACAGCAGTCAGTGTTGTTACCGCTGGTGCGTGTCATTAGCGTCGTAGAATTGACCGTGGCAACAGCAACGAATGAAAATAAGGAATTTTCCCCCGTCATCACCATTTCTCTGGGGGCGGGGCTAACTGCAACCAACCGTACACACACGAGTTCCACTCGGAGAAAAAAAGCGCAGGAAATAACTGCATCGCAGAAACACCATTGCAACCTCCGACCGCTCTCCGACTGATGTATCAAGATAGCACAACTCGAATCTAGTGTTGGGGTGTGTGCCTTTGCTCGTGATGCGAGTCTCGTGAGTATCGACTCTGGGAGTGTCCTCGGAACTCGTAAATAACGTGCCAAGAGGTTCATTCTCAGACCTTTCCCCCTTGAAACGATCGGAGGCTCGTCCCAATTGCGCGAGTGATCTCACCCCCCCTACAGTAGTCTGGCTTTCAACGTTCCGTATCCGTACTTCTCGACAACCAGGAGAGCGCCACTGCGGAACAGGCGGGTGCTTTTGGAAGGACTTCCTCGACGAGAGCTGTCCTTGCACGTGTACCGGTCAGCTTTCGCACCCTCTTTTGAGTGTCGAGCAATCAATCGAGGTATACATTCGTTCTAGCGGGGGTGCCATCACTCGCACTACTGTACTAGGTACGTGCGGTACACGCTGGCACCCTCAAGTATCTACATACGCGTTCCAACACCCGGTTCTTTCATCTGACGTTCGACCTACCCACAAGCTGATCGACAATCAAGCTGACGATCACTTCTATGCCCTCCACATCAGGCTCACTACTGCTATCACCGGTGGCGACGTCTCCGCCACTATGCTGCGCCTGTTGGTTTCCCACAAATCCCTCTTTCTCTACCTCCTCCGTGCCTCCCTTTCGCGCAAACGCTGCCGAACCGCTGTTTGGACCAGCTGGTATTTTCGTGCATTCCAACGCAGGCTGAACGGCAGCGGTGGTGGCGCTAGCTTCTGCAGTCGCTGTCGCTTCCGCTGCTGCTTCCGTGTGCAGTTGCCGCCGGAGGCGGATGAGCGGCGGTAGACACTTGGCCTCCAGAAGAGACGACCTGCTAAGTGACACAAGGTGGCCTGTAAATGAAAACTACACACAAGCTTCTCCATCCGTCCTTGAGGATTTCGAGTCAGCGCATCATCCGGATTTGGATGCTCTACTAACGAAACCATTGCCCTTGCAAAGCGTGTGCCAATAGTTTGTATTTTTCTCGACCGCAGCCATTGTTAGAGGCAAAGGCAGACAGGCACTACAGCAGGTTGGGCTTACAAGCAAAATGCTGATGTTCTCCGGTTAAAACAGCTCTAAAAAATTCGACGCGCACCTTCCGCCAGGGTCCAAAGAAATGGCGTATAGGAGCCGCGCCGCCAGCAAGAGGGAAGGAGGAGTCTGGTCCCCACCTCCGTCGGCTGCGTTTCCATCTGTACCGTGATGGCGTTGCCCGAATACTCCACGTGCTCTTACGCTATCAGCCTCTTGTTTCTTCGGAGTACGTTGGTGTTGTTGTTGTTGCTGCTGCTGCTGCTGCTGCTGCTGTTGCGAAGAAGAGGTGCAGTCGGCCGCGGTTGCCAGGTGCATCAACAGCCCGGAAATCGCTCCCGCCTCCACCATGGCAGGCATCGTGGAAGGATCTGCTTGTGATGCCTGACTCAATGCGAGGAGACGGACGAACGACAGAAGCGCGAGGAGCACAAAGAGTCGCCTTCGAGACTACTGACGCAGTCAGATGAACGACGCCATCGCATCCTAAAGCTACCGATCGCATAGTCTTATGTGTTGCAAAATGTCTAGCTCACCTAACTGTATCTATTATAGACCTTTTAGTGGTTGGGAAAACTTTTCGGGCTTGTCCAACGGGGCTCACGAAACGCAGGAGGTGATGCATTGCTACCCCCCCCCCAACCCCC